CCATCTTGTTTGTTCTTTTTCAGATTCATACTTTATACATTCCATGTTCCGATTATTAATGGGTGTTTGCAGCTGTTTCTTCTCATTTTGAGCAGATTCCCATCAAGCAGATGAAGATCTTGAAAGCTTAGCTCCATCTACATCATAAAGGCCAACTCGACTCTGAGGAGGTGGTTCTTCCAACCAGAGGGGATCATGTTCTAGCAGTGTATCAGACAGTGTTCTCCTGCTGTTCATGAGGTTTTCAGTGTTTTAGTGGCTTACCCTTCAGAAGTGGTCAGTCTCTCCTTCTTCATCGTCTGTCTGAATCTGGAAGCTCTGCTGAAACCTGTGTACCACGGGTGACCGGGCTGGTATTTAAAATACTGGTGGTGTAGGTTCTAGCATCATGGTACATAAGCCACCACGGTACGATAAACTGATAGATGAATGTTTAATAGTTTACTGTGTCTTCCTTCTGGGAGGGAAGCTTTTACGACATGAATGCTCAACCTTTAGCTATTTCGTCATAGGTCCCTGAAGCTCCATTTATTTTTTTCAGTCTGATTTGTTCAGATACGATACTTTCTGCATCTGTTTTCAAGGTTACTATTTCTGTTCTCTGTTGACTCCATTCTGCTATTTTCCAACTCTTAAATTTCTCCTTGGTTCATTTTTGTATCTTCTATTTCTTTGTTGAACCTTTCTATTTTTCCATTAGTTTCAAGAGTGTTCATGATTGCTTTTGTAGCGTTTTTGTATTAGCTACTTTAAAATCTCTCTCAGGTAATTCCAACATCTCTGACATATTGACATTGGTGTCGATTGATTGTCATTTCTGAGTTGAGATTTCTCCTGCCACTTTATATGCTGAGTAAGGTTTGGCAGTATCTTGGACTTTGAGTTTAATGTTATGAGATTATGGGGCTTATTTCAATCCTCTGGGGAGTTGAAGGAGGCCTGGTGATGGAGTCGTTAAGTGCTGGGCTGCTAACCAGAAGGTTGACAGTTGTAACCTACCAAGCTGCTGCAAAGGAGAAGGATGTCACAGTCTAATTCCATAAAGATCTGTTGTTGTTGTTGTTAAGTACCGTGGAGTCAGTTCCGACTCATAGTGACCCTGCTCATTGTTTCCAAGGCTGTAAATCTTTACGGGAGCAGAAAGCATCATCTTTCTCCCACAGAGAGTGTCATCTTTCTCCCACGGAACAGCGACCTTGGGGTTAGCAGCCCGATTTGTAACCACTGCGCTACCAGAGCTCCTTCCTAAAGATTTACAACCTTGGAAATACTGTGGGGTAGTTTTGTTTTATTTTCTGTTTTATAAAGTCACAATGAGTCAGAATCAAATAAACAGCGTTGGGAGCTAGGGGGTGAGGGAATAAGAAATAGTGACATACTTGGTTTGGCAGGCAATTCACCTACTTAGCTTCAGGCTGCATTTCAACCCACCTTCTATGGGCTTTGGTTCCAGTGTGAGATCTATTCTCAAGGCCTTTCTTACAGTGCTGTTTGTATCTGTCTCATTTTTGCCACTCAAAGTCCAGTCTGAGATATGGGTGTTGGTGTCTTTGCCAATTCAGTTATCAGAAGTTTAAGTGTGGTGATTAGGCACAAGCCTGGATGTTCATAAGCATTTGTGTGTGTGTGTGTGTGTTGAGTGGCGGAGAGCCTTGCTTTCTTGACCACCTCCTTCTCTATGATCCTTTCATTTCTTTCTGGCTCCTTGGGGATTTCTTTTTTCCATCTCTAATCAAAAAGTGAGTCCTATTGTGGCACTGTGGGTTAATGTGCTGGATTGCAAAGTCAGTTTGAACTGCAAGGTTGACGGTTCAAGCTCACCAGCTGTTCCATGGAAATCCTATACAGGGTCGCTGTGGGTTGGGACTGACTTGACTGCACTTCACACCAACAATCAGAAAGTGAGACCCTAAGTTAGTGTACCCCGGCAGGCACTTCTGTGACTGTGCAAACATGGAGAGTCACCTGTCACTGTTTCCTTGTCGGAGTGTTCAACTACCTGCCCCCCCTGTTCTCTGCAGATTTTATATCTGCATTCATGGGGAGAGAAGGTGGTGTGTACTTACACCCATCTTCCTGGCAACAGCTTCTTAACGTTTTTCATTTAGTACCGTTGAGCTGTATATATAGCCTGTGGTTTTGTTTTAATTCACAAGTTTATCAAGGTCTAATGAAACATTTGGAGGCCTCAAAGTGAATGCCATATAAATAAATATTTAATGCATGCAGGTTGAATGTGATTCTTAACCACTGTGCAAATTTGATACATTTGTACGTTTATTCTCTTGAACATCTTCAACAATTAAGCACAAGTAGAAGATATTCCCAGTAAACCAGTTCCTTCCCTAAACCAGTTTCTACACTCAGAACGTTAGGGTTGTATTCAGACTGAAAAGTAGCAAGGAGAAAATATGTCCTCTTGGGAGTTCCTTAGTTCAGGATGTAAGGAGGGAAATCTGTTTGACTTGGCTATATTTATTTATGTTTTGGGGAATTGTGTTATATGTATTTTTTTGACTTTTCATGCAGAGATGTGATAATGGATCATTATGCCTCCACCATCAAACCTCGAAGAATCCAAAACCAAAATGTCATTCACCGCTTGGAGCGCAGGCGGATCAGCTCGGGCAAGGCAGGGACCCACTGGCACCAGGTCCGAGTGTTCCACCAGAATGTCTTCCCCAACTTCACAGTTGTCAACGTTGAGAAGCCTCCTTGTTTCTTGCGTAAATTCTCACCGGATGGACGCTTCTTTATTGCTTTTTCTTCAGACCAGACATCTCTTGAAATCTACGAGTACCAGGGCTGCCAGGCAGCAGAGGACCTCCTGCAGGGGTATGAGGGGGAGATCCTGTCCAACGGGAATGACCAGCGCTCGGTCAATATCCGGGGCCGGCTCTTTGAACGCTTTTTTGTCCTGCTACATATTACCAACGTGGCGGCCAATGGGGAGCACCTGAACCGGGAGTGTAGCCTCTTCACAGACGACTGCCGGTGTGTCATCGTGGGCTCAGCTGCCTACCTCCCGGATGAGCCTCACCCTCCTTTCTATGAGGTGTATCGTAACAGTGAGTCGGTGACCCCCAATCCCCGCTCCCCTCTAGAGGACTACTCCCTGCATGTCATTGACCTTCACACTGGCCGCTTGTGTGACACTCGCACATTCAAGTGTGACAAAGTGGTCCTGTCACACAACCAAGGGCTGTACTTGTACAAGAACATCCTGGTCATCTTGTCAGTGCAGCAGCAGACCATCCACGTCTTCCAGGTGACTCCCGAGGGCACGTTCATCGACGTGCGGACTATTGGCCGCTTCTGCTACGAGGACGATCTGCTCACTGTGTCAGCTGTCTTCCCCGAGGTACAGCGGGACAGTCAGACAGGCATGGCCAACCCCTTTAGGGACCCTTTCATCAACTCCCTGAAACACCGGCTGCTGGTGTACTTGTGGCGCCGGGCAGAGCAGGACGGCAGTGCGGTGGCCAAGAGGCGCTTCTTCCAGTATTTTGATCAGCTACGGCAGCTGCGCATGTGGAAGATGCAGCTCTTGGACGAAAACCATCTGTTTATCAAGTACACTAGTGAGGACGTTGTCACTCTGCGGGTCACAGATCCATCACAGGTATGAGTGACTCTTATCCTTCCAGTCTCCTTGACAGAACAGGAAACCTTCTGTCGTTCTTTGTCTCAGGCCCCCGAACCCTAACCAAACCCACTGCCGTCTAGTTGATTCTAACTCACAGTGATGCTGTGGGGAGTTTTCAAGGCTATAGACCTCTATGGGAGCAGAGAGCTCCATCTTTCTCCTGATGAGTACCTCCAGCCACTTACAAATGCAGTTTATGGCACCTGGAATTTTTGCTGTCCGGAGGGCTCAGACAAACTTAAAATCAATTCTGTGTTTCTCTGGCCCTACATGTTTATTTGGACAGACGGCAGTTAAATCTCCAACCACTGACCTTTTTCTTTTGGGTGGGTGGGGGTGCCAAATTATTTTTTTAAATGTTACAAATGGAAGAATTTAAATGAATGCGTTGGTACAACCTACAGAATAGGTCAAGGTAAACTCATCATGTCTGCACTGTCAGAAGTCACCTGTGGTTATGGAGAAACCAGGTCCGTGGTTAGCTCTCTCCACAGTGTCTCCCAGGGAGTTTGTGTCAAAAAGTTATCCAGTCAGGCCAGGTGCAGGCGCCCTCCTCTTGCTTGTTTCCGTAATGCGTCTCAGTGAGATGGCTCCAAGGGGGGGTTCTTGTCAGCGGCCCGTTTGTGCAGTCCCAGTAGTGACTGGTCATGCTTTTCCCAAGTGTAACACACACCCAGCTGGCGAGGTCGGCTTTGCTGCTAGCCTGCAGGAAGGAAGAGTTGGCCACCTTGTTGCTGGTGCAGCTCTGTCATTTTCTCGGCATAGCCCTTTCTTTTCCTCATGACGTTGGTGATGACTGTTGCTGCGTCCCAGTTGTAGTTCTGGCGCATCTGTGAGAGAGGCATGTCATCATGGACATGTGTGGTGCTGGAGAGGCCCTGGGGGCCTTGGGGCCATCCAGTGGCTCTGTGAGGTGATGGTGGAGCGCTGGCTTTGAACAGCTGCTTGAGGGGCAAGTTTCTGAGTGCTGGATTCCATCCAAACACTGTTGGAGCAGGAAACTGGTGACTGCAACAAACACCCAGAAGCAGCGAGGTTTAGAGAGTCTGCCGTGGTTATTATCCCATAGAAGCGCAGAGCCGTTTCAGTACCCTTGAGACGGAAGCCCAAGTGCTGCAGGGTCAGGGTGTGGATTTCCTGTTGCCGTCCTGTCTTGATTGTGTTGGCGGGGAGAGAGGCTTTTCTCACTGACAAGTAGGAATAAGGCGGCAGCCAGAATACAAAAACTGCCAAACCTCTCATATTGAAAACATCAGTTTGAAACCTGATGGCATTTGCACATTCATGTTTGAGAAGCTGCCCACTTTGATGTTGACCAAGCACAGGCCTACCTTTCTGTATCTGTGTTCTGTTTGCTTACCCAGTCTCCTGTCTCCACGTTGTCTCCTTAGGAACTAGTGTGGCCATCGAGAACAGCCAGCAGACCAGTAGCCCACAAAGTCAGCTGAGGCTGGTGGCTCCCACTGACCTGCTGTTGATCTTACGTCTGAGGGCTCACAGTACAGGCCGGCATCCTAGACCTCAGCAGCCACCTGTGCTCAATAGCATCTAACGTTTTTCTTTTGAATCAGAACATGTGCATTCTTTACAAAAAGCGGTAGATGTAATATGGTTAGTGAGAATTTTTTCTAGCATAACCTGGATTCTTTGGTCCCTCTCCTTGTTGGAGTCACTTCCTGAACATTTAGTTTCTTTTATGCATCATGGGACACTGGTGGCAAAGCCCTTGACTTCTGTACCGTCGTGTCCTTCATTTCCCTGCCTGTCCTGGAGAGAAGCTAGTAAGTATTTCTGTAATATTATAGTCACCTCATTATGAGAGAGCCCGGTGAAGCCCGGATCTGATCACTGTGTTGTCCAGGTCTAGAGAAAGGGCATGAGTCAGTCTTTTATTTAGGTTTGTGTTAGAATTACCTGGCTATTTTGCAGGGAATACGTTGTTTATGATTGTTGCTACATTTGAGATTATCCTGTTTTTCTTTGCTAAAATGTGACCTGTGTTTTACTTTGGCTGGGTAGTTATAGTAAGTTGTAGCTAGAAATGGTACTAGGGTTCTGTGCTGACTTAAACTCTTTGTTTAGAGTTTGTAACTTTAAACTCAGTCCTCTTCCTTCCTTGTCCTTCACCAGCTCCCCCCGCTCCCCGATTTAATTTGATAGGTACCAGTAAGGTTGATGAGTAAAAAGTACATGCAGACACAAGGCCATGGTACTATTAAGGACATTATTCTCAGATTACATCCAGTCTCTTGAATTTACAGACAAATTTAATTTCCAGGTGACCGCAAAAGCCATGTAATATAAGCTCTGGGAAGGACTAATTAGTAGAAAAACAGGTGGGTCACATTGGTAATGGAGATTTAGTCTTAATCCTGGGGGGAGGGGGCTACTAATCCTACTGTTGAGGAAAACTTCTCAAGTCCTGTAAGAAGCTTGGAGCTTGAGTCAGGGGCCAGCTTCACAGTGGGCCAATCTAGGGTACCTGGAATGTCCTTTGTCAGGTAGAGCAGTAGACTTGAAGTGTAAAGGCAGAGGGTCACCTAGGGGCCATGCAGAGAAAGCAGGAACTCTGCCGCCTGTGGCATCTGAATGCTCCTCAGCTTCCCCCTCTGACCTTCATTGCTACATACTTCAAATGCATCTTACAAGTGCTTTTGGCCAAAACAACATCTGTGAAGAAAGAAATGAAAAATATTTCTGATTTTTTTATTTGTTCTGTAACAGTATCTTGCACAGTGTACTTAAAGTGTCTCTCTGCATGTTAGAACTATTCAGAGGGAAAAATAAATGCCCCTAAATTGAACTTTCAACTGTATGCATACAGGGGAACAGAATTTGCCAACTGTCAGCTCCAGGCTGCAAATCACTTTCTCAGCAGGAAAGAAAATTAAATCTGGCATTTTCAAGAAGTAAATTTTTTTTTTTTTAATCTCAGGGTGGGTTGGGGAGCAAGTAGGAAATAAACACTTGGAAAGAAATGTATTAAATTTGCACAGTTTGAAGTGAAAGATTGAAAAGCTTTTTAGGCATGTATGCTGGCCAACTCAGTAATTTTAGCAGTGCAGAGAGGGTGGGAAATTCGGCAGCCTTGAGACTCTTGGTCGATAAAGGCCACCTAGGCGTCCTCCTTTCCCAGAACCATGGGGAGCTGTGTCTCTGCTCCCGTGCAGTAGCTGAGCTGTTTGCTTGTTTTATTGGGCACCTGGGATTGGAGCCAAATGACAGTTTACCTAGGCATGGTGTTACCTGTAGCTGTCTGCTGCTGCTGCTGCTGGTGGCGTTGGCATTTGCTGTCTAGTGGATTCTGACTCGCGGTGACCCTCTGTTCTTCCTCCGCAGGCCTCTTTCTTTGTCGTGTACAACATGGTGACAACACAGGTGATTGCTGTCTTTGAGAATACGTCTGATGAGCTTTTGGAGCTCTTTGAGAACTTCTGTGACCTCTTCCGTAACGCTGCCCTGCACAGTGAGGTCCAGTTTCCCTGCTCGGCTTCCAGCAACAATTTCGCAAGGCAGATCCAACGCCGGTAAGCTGTCCACTGGATCTAGCAGGCTTTGCCGCTGCTTTAGAAGAACTGTTAGCATTCGGCTAGCAGTCATTTCCTCCATGAAACCTTCCCATACTCTCTCTGCCCACTCACACTTAGTTAGAGCTAGCTGCCTGTTTAACCACTGGTGTCTTTCTCCGTGTATCTTTCCTCTCTGTCAGCCCTGCAGACTCTTATCTGAGCTTCAGAAAGACGGAGACAGCAGTGCATTGCCAAGGGCTTAAATATTTACTGATTAAACGTGGTATGTTGAGCGTGAATTTATCTTTGTTCTATCCCAAAAGACGCTATTCAGATGACCATAAAGGAATAAGAAGCATACATCTACAACAATGGGAGAGGATTCTAAAGAATGGGAGAGGAGAAGATTGGAGATAGGAGACAGCGACACAGATTTGGAAGCTGAAAGTCAACAGAGGAGTGATGATGGCTCACCTCAAAGAGCAGAAATTTATGCCTTCAGGGCTCAGCCATCAAGACCAAGCCTGACCTTGACCACAGAACTCTGTGAAGGGTCCAGAGATTGGAGACCTTCTGTACCTCTGAAGGCTGGGTATGAGGTAGTCTGGAATCAGGAGGATTGGTGAAGGGCTTCAAAGGCACAGTCAGCTCTGTCGATCCCTTCCTCTAGTCTACACTGCCAGAGGACCGCAACAAAAGTCTTCCCTCAACTTCCTGAGGCCTAGATGAGAGCAGGATGAGACATGTCACAGTGAAAACCAAGGAATTAACTGAAAGTTAACATACTGAAGGGGAGACGTCTTTTCTCCTTACCACTTTCTGACGTATTCCCAGGTTTATACTCCCTAGGCAAAAGATTAGGGATTTTCCCTAAGGAAAGTGATCAACTCATTAGAAGAGACCTTCAGATAATGATATCGGAGTCCTTTGTTCACCTTAAATTGATAGCCACCATGAACCAAGGTTTCTAATGATCTTCTTAGTACACAATTATGAAATGATTGGCTGCTTTAGACCACGTTGCTGTTAGGTGCTGTAGAGTAGGTTTAACTCATAGCTGCCCTGTGCACAATAAAACTGTAGGTCAGGAGCTCAAGCTAGATCCTACTCATCAGTTAGTGTTTATCGGATTTCACAGTCCTGAATCACTCCCCCAGCCTTAACCAGTTGTGGAAGGATCTGCTCTAGGTCTCAAGATGGACCTGAGCAGGTGTGAGGGGGTGAGTCAGACTAAGCATGACTGCCAGTGAGGAAAAGATCAAAGCAGACCTCTCAGTGCTGTGGCGTCATAAAGATGAGGCTGGATATGGGACATAGATGGATAGTGATTTCCAGACTGCAGGTAGTACCTTTTCCTTCGTCTCTGGTTCACACAAACCTGCATTATTAGAATCTCTAGTCAGTAAAGGAGTTGTGGTGTGGCACTGTAGGATAAACACTGGACTGCTAACTGCAAGGTTGACAATTCAAACTCCTCAGCCTCCTTGGAAACCCTATACAGGGTCACTATGAGTCGAAAACGACTCCACAGGATTTAATAACAACATTCAGTAAAAGAGGATTTTTGGAAGCAGAATATGAGTTTTTCTCATTTTGGAATCGTCTTTAAAATTAAGCAGATTATTACCATCAAATGACAGAAGAAACTAAGGTATTACGTACACAGCAGAGAACAAACGCTGGGTACGCTCAAGTCACAAAAGCAAGTCACTAGAGGGTAAGCTTCATGAGGCCGAGGGTTGTGTCTGTTCTGTTCACAGCTCCCAGGCCATTGACGGGTATGTGGAAGGAGCCCATTAAGTATTTGTTGAGTGAGTGAAGTCATTCAGGTAGATGAAGCTATGTGTTCTGAAAGGTATTTCAGAATGCATTTGAAATTAAGAGCAATTACAGGTGGCATTGTAGGATCAGCACAACTGTGAACCACAAGGTTGACAATTCAAACCCACCAGCTTCTCCTTGGAAACCCTGTACAGGGTCGCTATGAGTTGGAACTGACTTGAAAGCACTTAAAACAACAACAACAACAACAACAACAACAGGGAATCTCAGGAAAGAGAAAATAACAACTGTGTTCCAGCTTGGTGATCTTCAAAATTTTGCTTCATATTACCAAAAGATTTTGAAAAACTATAGATACTCCAATGCATTTTTAAGGTGATCTGTTCATTTTTGTTGTTGTTGTTTGGCCATCAAGTTTAAAGATTTGTAGTTGTTGTTCCAAATTGTTATAGCACTCTTTTTTCTTTTTAAGTTTGATTGTGAATTGAGTGATAGTCTACATGGGAGAACATCGGTTTCACACCGTCATTTCAGTGCAATGATTACAGTCTCCTCTGTGCAGCATCATTCAACAGGATATTTGCTTCTGTTCCCTCTGGGTTTTTGTGTGTGTTTCTTTCTTTGTGTTATTTTGGGGGTGTGTACACAAAAACACTCAGGAATATATAATTATTTAAACAACCAAAGGGCACATTCTGCAAACCAGCTTCCTGGCTGCCAGCACCCAGCCTTTCTCTTTCCTTGAGTCGAGAGTCCTTAGCTGCTCCCTCTCTTGCATGTCCTTATCTCTGCCTCCATGTCTGGTGTCGCTGCTTCTCTGGATAGGTTGTTATAGCACTCTTAAATGTTGCCAAGGAGTCTAATACCACAGTAATTTGGTAATCAAGTATTTGATATGGAAGATACAGAGTAAACTAGTCCCAGACTGTTGAAATTTTGTATTGTTTTGAATTTGTGAATTCATATATCTTATCTGTCTTCCCTAAAGAATTGTATCTTAATGTAGTGTCTTGGAGTCCTGGTGTGGCACTGTAGAGGAAGGACTGGACCTCAAGGTAGGTTTGAGCTGCAAGGTCAGTGGTTCAGATTCACCATCTGCTCCTCAGAAACCCTCTGCAGGGTCACTGAGTCAGAAGTGACTGGACGGCCCCTAACAAGAGCAGTGGAGTGTCTAGTGCTGTAGTGCAGCTGTAACAGAAATACCGTAGTAGATGGCTCTCATAAACAGAAATGCATGTCTCATAGTTAGGAGAAAAGAGTCGGAATCGAGGGCGTCAGCGCTCCAGGCTGGCTCTCTTGTTCTGTCCGCTTTGGAGGAAAGTCCTTTCTTTTCGGCTTTTGTTCCTGTGGTGATCAGGTGACTCGGCATCTTTCCTCCCCTGCTTCTCTCAGTCTGCTTGTTTAAACTCTTATATCTCAAAGGAGGTTAATTTCAGACATGCCTTGTGCCAATCCCATTTCATTATCATAGAAAAATTTCTCAAATGAGGTTGTAACCAGAGACTGGAGGTGAGGATTTACATGTTTTCAGAGGGCACAGTTGCATGTGGTTTGTTTTATTGACCACCCTGCCATACTTTGCTGCATTGAAAATATAATTCAGATATACACTGAAATTGCAGGTGGAGTATGAAAATATTGCTCCAAAATCTCAGGAACCTTAGTTTTTTTTAAAAAAAAAAAAACAATGTGTGAAGTTCATGCTTCATGCCATGCTCCACATCTAGGTCTGTACAGTTCTGAAGACATTGTTTCCATCTCTCTAACTCTTCCTTGGAGAAGTCTACATAACTCAATTTACACCACATCAAAACAGCAGTTTAGCATCCTGGAGAAACCTACATCGTGCTCCTTTAAAATTGTTTTTGAGATTGGGGAACAAAACGAAGTCTGAAGGGGCAAGAATAGGTTTGCAGTGTGGATGTTGTAAGGTTTCACAGCGAAATTCTTGTAAGGTAGCCCTTGGATCCCTTGAAGAATGAGCTGATGCGTTGTCGTGAGGGGGACGCATTCCTAGGTGCAGCTGTGCTGGCATTTCCTCATCAATGCAGCTTTCAATTTTTTAAGAACAACTTCTTAATAAGCACCTGTGATTGTCCTGTGTCCTATAAGAAAATTTATCAAGGTGATCCCTTTGAAATCCTTCTGAACTGACCTCTGCCTTGAACACGCCCTCGAGGTCTTCTTGACATTCTGTAAAATACTTGGCCCTTCTGAAAGCTTGTTTTATATGGGGCAGCATTCCTGCAAACTTGTTGCAAAGCTTCAATGATTGGGGAAGATGTCCATTGAGTTTTATTAGAAATTTGCAGTTAGCCCTGACCTCAAAATCATTTTTTTCCATGGCACAAAAAGTATCCTGTTATTGAAGGCACCCTAGGAGTCTAAGACAACTGTATTAATGAGAAAACCTGTCTGCAGCCACACACTGATTGTGAAACATGTTTAAACATGTTTTGTGTGGAATAAACCTATGCATGTATGAACTGGAACTCTAATAGCAATACTTTTTGACTGACCCGAATTTTTTTTTTTTTTCCCCTCTTGTAAACACATGGTTTTAAGTTTCAGATTTTTCAGTAAGAGTAAGGTCTTTTGATAAAGTTAAATGAAAATGGGTCAGAATAAATGAGTAAGGAAAGAAATGGAAACCAAGGAATTCAGATCATAAAAGGAAAGTCTTCGTTGTAAGAAGTCGAGAACAGAAGAAAGCCAAACTGCATGTATGGGACAGTAGGAAACTACAAAGGAACATTTCTTGACAGTTAGATGCTTTTAGAAGTTTAACATTTAGATAGGAATAGTTGAGGAACTCCAAGAAAGAACAAAAAGAAGGAAAGTAGAAACAAAACAGTAAAATGTATCAGCCCAGGAGGTCTAATATCTGGCTAATTTAGAAGGAGCAACAGAGAAAGCAGATGAGAACCATCAGATAACCGTTTTCCAGGACTGAAGGACACGAGCTTCGCTATTGGAAAGGCTACCTGAGGATGTGCTGGAGTAGGCTTGTGCTCGCTCACAAGAACCGCCTTTCTGTTTTCAACAGTTTTGCTTATTGTTAAATATTGCAGTTCTTGCAAATAAAATTTTTATAAATTTATAATAAAAACACTGAAAATAGAGGTAGTGAGTATTTAACAGGCATAGTGTCTTTATTCTTTTACCACATTTAACTTTTATTAATGCTCTAAGGTTATGTACATCTGTCTGTTGTATTTGTATGATGAAAATACTGT